AATCAGTTCCTTTCACCCCATATGAGATGTGGACTGGCAAAAAGCCTGATTTGGGCAATTTGCGGTCTTGGGGTTCGGCAGCTTACATACACAACGCTTCTCATAAGTTTGGGAAGTTGGGCCCTAGAGGAAAGAAGTGTATCTTCATTCGCTATAGTGAGCATTCTAAGGGCTATGTGTTTGTTGGGGAGCATCCGGATGGAAGTGTGACTGAAATTGAGTCGCGAGATGTGGATTTCCTAGAGGAGGATTTCCCTAGCAAAGGTGAGGTAACTAGAGAAGTAGAACTCTATGAGATGGAGGATCTACTTGAAGGCGCACCTAGTAGCCTAGTAGAGAATGAGGAAATAATTCCTCAAGCTCCTAGGGACAATGGGAGCGATCTACCTGCCCATGGATTAGATCCAATGGATGAGGATTCTCAGGATTCTCAACTACGTAGAAACAAACGTGGAGCTATACCCCGTCGTCATTTTGAGATTGAAGGGGAAACATTCATGATTGCTCTGAGTGATGAGATGGAGCCTAAGAATCTCAAAGAGGCTCTCTCATCCCCTGCTAGTAAAGAATGGAGTACTGCAATACATGAAGAAATAGAGTCTATGAAGAAAAATCATGTCTGGGACTTGGTTGATTTGCCGCCAGGGCGCAAGACTATTGGGAACAAATGGGTTCTCAAAATCAAGCGCAAAGCGGATGGTTCTATAGAAAAGTATAAGGCTCGCCTAGTGGCGAAAGGTTACACCCAACGAGAGGGTGTGGACTATGAGGAAACTTTTTCACCAGTTATAAGGTTTGCCTCTATTCGCCTAAACCTGGCCATAGTAGCTCAGTTGGACTTAGAGCTATATCAGATGGACGTTAAAATTGCATTTCTTAATGGAGAATTGGATGAAGAGATCTATATGGATCAACCAGAAGGCTTTGTGGCAGTAGGTCAGAAGCACAAAGTTTGCAAGCTTCAACGATCTATTTATGGCTTAAAGCAATCATCCAGACAGTGGAATCTGAGATTTCATCGAGCCATTGTTTCTAATGGGTTTACGATGATTGATGAAGATCACTGTGTGTACGTTAAGCGGTCTAATGACATTTTTTTGATATTGTCATTATATGTAGATGATATATTATTGGCTGAAAATGACAAGGAGATGATTGTCACCACTAAAATGTGGTTGTTCTCTATATTTGAGATGAAGGACATGGGTGAGGCAAGCTATGTGCTCGGTGTTAAGATCCTTAGGGATCGCTCTGGGAGACTTCTTGGTTTGTCTCAAGAGACTTACATTAAGACTATTCTAGAGCAGTTCCAGATGCAGAGCTGCAAACCCATTGACACTCCTGTTACAAAAGGCGAGAGCCTAAGCCTTGATATAGGTCCTAAGACTCAAGAAGAAAATGAAAAGATGGCCCGTGTTCCCTATGCAAATGTTATTGGAAGCTTAATATATGCTATGATGTGTACACGTCCTGACATTTGTTATGCAGTCGGATTGGTGAGTCGTTACCAATCCAACCCAGGACCAACTCATTGGAAAACAGTTAAGAGGATATTATGATATCTTAAAGGGACTACAGATTACACACTTTACTACCAGAGTCCAGATCTACATCTAGTTGGCTATTGTGATGTTGACTGGGGAGGAGACCTAGATGAGCGTAAGTCTACTTCAGGATATGCTTTCATGCTTAGCGATGGTGCTATTTCTTGGAGCAGTAAGAAGCAATCCTGTATCGCCTTATCGACGATGGAGGCTGAATTTGTGGCTTGTTCATCTGCCGTTCAGGAAGCCGTGTGGTTGAGGAGATTCCTTCAGCATTTAGATGTTGTCACACACACTTCAGACCCTGTGACTATCCATTGTGACAGCATGGCTACACTCGCTTACGCTAAGGATCCTAAATACCACGGCAGAACCAAACACATTGATGTGAGGTTCAACTTTATCAGAGACATTTTGGCGCAGAAAGAAGTGATCCTGGAGCACATCCCTACGAGTCACATGGTTGCGGACCCTTTGACTAAGCCCATTGCTAGAGATGTTTATCTTACTCATGTTAGGGCTTTAGGACTACGTAGGTGGTGATATATTTATGTGTATTCAGTTGAACTCATATATTTTTGGGATATTTATGCCATTATTATTCATATTTGTTTCTATTACACATTTATGTTTACTACCTTTTGCAATGGTTTGTGAATTAGCATACACAAAATAATTAAATTGATGTTAGCATGCAAGATTAGCTCACTCACACGAGCAATCGCCCTTAGCGCTAGGTAGAGAGTAAGGATGAGACTAGTGGCTTATTGTATTTGGAGCAAATAGAAAAGCCAAAATTATCCACTAGCTATGTTGCCTTGGTTGGAGCCAAGATGAGGTCTTGTTAGAGACCGACCATGGATATGAGAGTACCCACTTTTTCCATGATGTGCCTGTTATGGATAGCCAGATGCGAGATCTCATTTGATGCCTGAGAGGCGAGCAAATAGAGAATTCAAGTTAGACGCTAGGAAGCGACTTGTGCGCTTAAGGGCGACTAGACTAAGATCTGTATAGTGTGTGAGTTTAACATCACTCTTTGGAAGAGTTACTCCACTATAACGTGCATTCATACTATATGTGCTTATCGACCCGTTAGCGAAGTGAAAGAATGGATCCCTGCTTCTTTACCCTATGAGTCCTGAAAGTCATTTTTCCCTAAATGACTTAACTTTGTGCCTTTTGTGACCTTTGACTATGTCATAAGATGAGGAGTTGATGTTCAGCTACTTTGGTGTGTTGCCTGCGGTCATGTATGATTCGGCTTTAAGGGACATTACTGGGAAAGCGGTCAATTTCAAATTGAATGATATGAGGGTGAAGGGAAGATCATCTAGTTCTACATCTCTGCTCTATATTCACTGTCGACAACTCACATCGCTCTTTATAGGATGCTGATTGGGTGTGAATATAATGCGGGACCTAGGAGAGTCAAACATGCTCTTTGAGGGATTAGAGATGTTTTTAGACTGATATAGCTAGATGGGTCTAGGTACATGAGACACTATTTCTGTTTTTTTTGGGTTGATGTTTCTATGCTGACTCATATTGAGTTTTTAGTATAGAGCTCCCACTTACAGGTGTTCTCAGCAGTCGCACGGTGCATTGGCTACTATGAGATTGTTCATTTTTTGGGGAGATTGAGATAGAGATGTGGCAGTGTCATGGCAACTCATGTGCGAGTGGGAGATGTTAGAAATGGGCGCCCATGTGGCATGACCCTTTTCAGCCTTTTGAACCTTATCCAAATGGGTTTTGAATTTGAATTCAAACCTATTTGGATAATCACTCAGGATATATATCTATCATATCCTGATATGGATAGATGATATAGATATCAGATATTATCTCATATAACAAATATGAATAAATGAGATAAATAGATTACATATCTGATATATGGAATATGGGTGATTAAGTGAAAAATAACGTATGTTTAAGTTTTTCCCATATACTGACTCTCTCCCAAAAATAACGATCAAAGCCATTTGCACTGTGGTTTGTGTGGGTGATATTCATTATTGCTGGGTTGATTGACCAGATTCAAGAAGCACGTGATTTACCCACGAGATCCTTCAATTCAGACTCTGTTTGAAAGATATGACCATAATTTTTATTCCGCTGCGTTATACTTTGTTTACAAAAGAATATATATAATCATGTAAAGAAACATTTTAATCATGGCAAGTTTCTCCTACATCCATCGTTAGACAGAGCTTCAATACAAGAAACAAAGGAAAAACAAAAAGTCGGAGCTTCTCCTTCTTCCATCGCCGGCCGGAGTACATGTGTTTTGGTTGTGGTGGGCAAAGAGAGAAAGAGAGGAGAAACAGAAAGCAAGGAATGAGAATGAGATAAGGGGGCAGGGAGGAATAGAGGACTTGGTGGGATAGTGTCGTAAAAGGGGAGGGGGCTGCTACTACTGGCAATGGTGGTGGGTTTGACAGTTTCTAGATAGAGAAAGTAAGAAGATGCCAAAGAGGGATGCCTAATTTGGATCAAGAGGAGAGAGAAAATAGAGCTTGAGTCTATTTTCATGTGAGACTTTTCACGTCAATGGTGGTGCTATTGGGGAACAAAGCAGTTTTGTATATATATTTTTTGTATGGCTCTATCAATCTTGACCTTTACACTGTGTTTGGATTGACTGATTTGGAGAGAAAAGAAAAGAAATAGAGAGAAATGTATTTCTCTTTCTTGTTTGGTTATCTTAAGTGGAGAGAAATGGGGAGAAATAGAGAGAAATGGAGAGAAACTCATTTCTCTCATAACCCTTATTTTCAATCTTCCCAAAAGTGGAGAGATTGGGAGAGAAAAGAAATCCACAAATGTTTATATTTTCATAATACCAATTTTACCCCTATAAAAATAAAAGAAATAAAATGATTGAAAATATAAAAAGGTTATTTTGGTAATATAACATAAAAGGGGTAGGGAGGAATAGAGGACTTGGTGGGATAGAGTCGACCGTTGATGGGTAAAAGAGGAGGGGGTTGCTACTAGTGACGATGGTGGTAGGTTTGACAGTTTCTAGATATAGAAAGTAAGAGGATGCCAAAGAGGGATGCCTAATTTGGATCAAGAGGAGAGAGAGATTGGAGGGCTTAAGAGAGAAAATGGAGCTGAGGTCTCGTTTGGGAACCAGCCCATTTAGCCAAAAAGCCAACAACCCACACAAAAAAGTCAAAAATTTTCTTTTCTCTTTATTTTTTGCACATCTTTTCGTAAAAAGTCAAAAAATCATCCCAAACATATTAATTTTTTTTAACTTATATTTTAACCAAATAATAAAAAAATTACTAAATTAATATATTCTAAACGAGACCTGAGTCTATTCTCATGTGAGACTTTCCTCGTCAATGGTGGTGCTGGTGCTATTGAGGGACAAAGCATTTTTATATGGGCTCTATCAATCTTGACCTTTAATTCAAAAAGGGTTAAAGAAAACTGTCCTTCCCGCCAAAAGATCTCTCCGTAACCGTCTCATCAACAACCCACACCACAACTACTATTTTAACTGCAAAACCCTGACACCCACCATTCCCACTCCTCTCAGCATTCTCAATCTCTCTCTCTCAACACAATAATACACACAGTTCTTGCTCTCCAAGAACAAGAAAAACAATCCTCAGAAAATTCACCAAAACAAAATGGCAATCTTCAAGCTCAAGTTCTTCACCCTATTCTGCCTCCTCTCCTTGGCTTCTTCCACCACCACCACTCCTCCACCCTCCACCGCCCTCACGGCCTCCCAAGTCCTCAAAACCCGCGGCTACCACCTCTTCGGATCCCTTATCGCCTCTGCCGCCGCCAGTACCGACTCTTGGAATGGTACCGGCACCGTCTTCGCCCCACCCGACTTCGCATTCTCCTCCACCACCGCCAAATTTAACAACTATGGCCGCTCTCCGCCTCCCCGCCCCTCCATCTCCCTCCTCCTCTCCCACACCCTCAAACAACCCCTCACCTGGAACAACCTCACCGCCTTCGCCGACGCCCACGAACTCCGTACCTGGAAAACCAATCGCTGCCTCTTCGTCTCCAAGGGCTTCAACGGCGATCTCGCCATCGCCGGATCCAAGAAACCAATCTCCGCCGTCCAAATCCGCCAGCCTGATCTCTACCTGAATGATCGTCTCACCATCCACGGCGTGGACGGCGTACTGGACCCTAACTCTGTGTCCAAGTGCATGTTTCCTGATCAAACGCTTCTGATCAAACCTGGAGGAGTCGATCCATCTCCATCTCAATCTCAATCGCCTCTTGATCATGCGGTTAAGGCTTTGAGCAAGAGAGGATTCAGTATGGTCGCGACCGCAATGGCCGTGAAACGGTCCGAGTTGATCAATCTGGACGCCATAACCGTATTCGCTCCATCAGATTCGAGTTTGCTCTCCGAATCTAATGGATTCCGATTCGATTTCCTTCGCCACGTTGTGCCGGGACGATTTCTATTCAACGACATTGCGAGACTCTTGGCAGGAACAACCATGGAGACACTATCTCCTCACAAGACGGTGGTTATTGGATCCGCGAACGGCGTCGTCACTGTCAACGGCGTTGCGATTCACAGTTCGGAGGTTTACGCCAATCGGTGGATCGTTGTGCTCTCTGTTTCGCATACCATGGATGAACTCAAAGATTCTTCAGCCAAGGGTCCGATTTCGAATCGCCTCGCCAGAACTCTAGCTTTCTCGCCGAGTTACTTCACCGACTCTGAAGTCAATAGCCATTCCGATCATGGAGTTCCGTCTCCGGCGCCAATGACGGAGGACTGGCGGTACTCGCCGGAGATTTCTCCGGCGACGACGACGATCGGTGTCTCCCATGCGGTGGTTGAAGGAGGAGCGGTGGTTGAAGGAGGAGAAGAACTCTTCTGTCCGGTAACCGTACGGAGAATGAGAGTGAGGAGTCCTTACGTGGATCAATCTCAGCTGTTGAACTACAGTCCATATGGTCAACTTTCTGAGGAGTTGGTTCAATCTGGACCGTCGCATCAATCTAACGAGATTTCTGAAGAAGCTGGGGTTGAGTCTGGACCGTCTGATGAGGAAGAGAATGAGAGACGTGAATTGATGAGTAGTTCAATCCAGTCCAGTGGTTCTTCTGAGGTAAATAAGAGTGGGAAGAAATCTGGTGTGCCCAGTGTGATTGATCATTATTCAATTGCTGATGATCTGTTCTACTACATTTAATTTTACACCCACAGAATGTAGAACATAGTATGTTGTCAAATGTATGGGAAAAAAATTGTAAAAAAGAAATTTTAAAAATACAAATAATATTTTGTTTGGAAGGTTGTGTACTTGTATTCCACAATTTAATTGAATACTAATTTGCCTGCATGACTTTTTAAATGTTTTTATCTGAGTTGACAATTTGTTTCCCCTTTTTAGAGTTTTTTTTTTTTTTTTTTTTTTTTTTTTTGGTATGAAATCAAAAACGAAAAAGAACAGAGTAATTACCAAACTAAAAAGAATGATAATTTAATTTAGATTATTAAAGGCAAAGTGAAAAGAGATTACCACAATAAAATAAGGCTAGGTTTGACATAATCTAAAAAAATTAAAAAGTCATTATCTTATTTAAGTCATATCATTTTATTTAATTTATATTACCTCTCTACTATATCACATCAAACCCAACTTATATTTCATAAAAAATCAAAAAATACATTTTTTTAAATCATCTCAAACAACCCCTTTCACTCTCCTCGCATCAACTTATTTTGAGGTTATAATAATGTGTTTCTAGATAATGGCTCAAAGTAGTTTATAATACGCTAAAAATTGATAACATGAACAATAATGATAGATCTTTTAAAACTCTAGAGTTTTAATTGAGTTCTAATGAGTTGAAATTTTTAAAAAAAAAAAAAAAAAAAAAAAAAAAAAACATGGAATAAGTTCCACATACATATTAAAGCTATTAGACCTCACAAATTAGAGCTGCAAAACATTTTTTTAATATGAATATATAAGCTAAAAACACATCATCTCGTAGTTAATTTTGTCTAATAAGTTGTAAGTTATAACAATAGCTATACCAAACACTACCGTATAGAATTTCGATAAATGATTTTCATTCTCCCTCGCCCATTTTTACCACCCACACGGAACCTTAAAACGCAACCAAGGATACTCCTACACAACATAAGATGCGTTTGGAACAAGAATTTCAGGAGTGCTTTGTGAAAAGTAAAAAAAGTAAGATCACAATGAATGAAATGGAACATTTTTTTTTTCTTTTCTTTTTTTTTTCACTTTCCCCTTCCCATTTGTTCACTCCTCAATGTTATGTTTGGTTGGGAGATTTGGGAAATGATTTGGAAAAGAAAAAAGAAAAAGTGTGTGAAACTATGTAAAATATAGATATGTTTTATTCACATTTCACCTACCTTTTCCATTTCCCTTTCCAAATCCCTCTCCAAATCCCCCAACCAAACACAGCACAAATCTCCTACAAATACTTGATCCAAACATAGTGAGCGAAACAATCGCAAAACCACCCATGGATGAACAACCTGCCATGACCACCCTATTATTCAAATCCAACTGTGCAAACAAAATCCCCAATGTCACTTCACAGCAGATATTAAATGAATAGAAATTTAAAAAGAAATTGTAGGATGAACAGATTTTATATACCAGCCACCATAATGATTTATTCATGTCTCTGTTGGTGTTAAATGTTAATTCACTGCACATACAGGCTCGAATCTCCACTTTTTTCTCTTCTTTTTTTCCCGTCCTGAAGACAACAAGGCTTGAATACCCACCAAGCATGCCAGCATGCTTTATCACCAATCCATATAGCAATCTGATATCTTTAACTCAAGTAGATTCATGAAAAATTAAGCAGTTCCTTACAAGACAATTAGTTCTTCAACCCAGAGATAAGATGGTATTGCTAGAATTCGAATAGATTCAACACAATTTTTTGAAATTACAGAGCAAAAAAATGGTCATATTTCAGTGTTCAATCCAAACATCCAAAGAAATTGCAGACATTGAGGTTTCCATTATGTCACAAAAAGATAGAAATGTTCTTAGGTAATTCCCCTCTGCGTGTATGATATATCCATCAGACATTCACCTCCTCACCTTGCACTCGAGCAATGGATGCCGATAGAATCCCAAGATCACGATTCAGTAAGGTTAATGCAGACTCACACTCGGAGATTATTCGTGTGACAGAAGAGGGCTCACCAGCAATTGTTTCAGATGACCAAACAGCCACTGCTGCATGCGAGTCTCGAAGATTCCTCAAGTTCCCTAGAAACTGTTACAAATGAATAATCAAACCTCTTTATCAACTTCTTGTCATGCTAATCCCCTCAGAAATACTAATAATAATGAAGGCAAGACATGAACGCAAAATGACAAGATAAGAAACAACAACAAAACAATAATAAGGCTATGTTTGGATCATGGATTTCATGTAGGGATTTGTAAATAGAAAGGAAAAATTGTGGGAATTGTGAATGAAATATAAACAAATTTTTTTGTCCATTTTCTCACCTTTTCCTTTCTCTTTGCAAATTTCAACCCAAATCAATTATCCAAACATAGACTAAAGGTGTTGACATACAAATGTTCTTGATGATTTCAAGTTATGTGTTGAATAGATTTACAATCATGTGTAATCAAATTTTCTTATGTATAGCAAAACGTCTGCGCTGGAAGACAAACGGAGAAGCTGGATCATCGCTTTTTTTTTTTCCCCAAGAATTTGGTCATTCTCGATACTAGTCCAAGGTTTCCTTTGGGAGTTCCAAAGTTCTGAGATAGGCATCCTCTTAGCCATTTTTTTTAATTTTTGGAAGGGACTTTATGCTGTGTTTGGATTATTGATTTGGATAGGGATTTGAAAGGGAAAGAAAAAGATGAATCTCCCTTAACAAATCTCTACCCAAATCAATGGCCCAAACATGGCCTTAGGGATTTAAGTGGAATGAAGACATGGTTGCAGCAAGATAAAAAGTTAACTCACGTGGGATATAAAGATCATATGCTCAAAGTTCAGACATAAAATTTTGAACGCATTTAGGAACATCGTCGTATTAATACAGTTTTGGGGATAACACATTTGGTTAAAAGCACGAGCATGGTTAAGACAGGCAGTAGGTGTGTCATTATCAGCTTGAAAAATTAAGCAGCTGCACAAAAAAGCTTGAGATAGGTTTAGGCTCCGTAGGCAGTCAGAGAGAAAGGGAGGGAGAAGAGAGATTCCACATGAGGAAGCTGAAGAGGCTTAGCTCTGATAAAATTCTAAGGCACTAGATAGCTTATCAAACCAAGCCCAATGACATAACAAATTTGATCAAGCTTTGCCATTTATCACATAAGCTGATCACAACTCACAAGTGACCCTCCAAAACAAGCGATTATAATTCACAACCCAAGTTCAAGCAATTTGGCTTGTCTTACAGCCCTACCCAGGGATAGTCATGTGCGCTATAAACTAGGGTTGAGCGGGAAAATTGGGATCTCTTTCTAGTCAAAATCAGTATGGCATGTAACCGTGGAGAAGTTTGCAAGGAGGCTAACTAGATGGAGGATACTATGTTTAATTTTTTTGTCATTTAGTTTCATAACAGAAAACCTATATCGGTTGAAACCCTTCTTGTTGGTGGTTCGGGGAGTAAAATTCCTATATCATCTAATCACTAAAATGAGATCTGTTCTTCCGATGATTTAGGTGGACAAGTTACTAATAGATGTGTCTCTAGCATGGTCTTGTAGAGAAGATAGCAGTGAACATCTGAGGACGAGTGGAACTGTAAGAGAGGTAATCAATGGACTTTGGGTCATTGAGGAAAAGTAGTAGAGCATCAACAGGTTGGCAGAATCCAGCTTAAAGATCTTCTTTTAAGGTGTATCATGGTTTGAAGGTTTCATTGTTACTAGGCAAAAGAAGGCATTGGTTCGAGAAATCTACACCAGCATCCCTGAGACGGAAGAGATGGGGAGCGTAATTTCATAGAATAAGCACTGGGGACACTTCAGAAATAATGGGTAAGAAAAAGAAAAGAACATGTAAGAAATGGTAAATTCAATACCAAACACAAATAATGTTAACTACTACTAGAAAGTAAAGGAAACAAGCCTTAAAAACAACATTCCAACCACACCAAACAAGGATGAAGCAGCAGGAACTAATCAAAGCTATTGAATTTTGAGTCGTATGTGTACCACAACAGGCAATCAGTACAAATTCCAGCCACTAAAAAGTAAAAAAAAGAAAAATATGTTTTTCAATTTTGTACAACATACATATATTGACAATTCAAGTTCAAGGTAAAGCACAAGTAGAAGAGTTCAAAAACTAAAAAACTGAAATAGAGAGAAATGAATAAGGTAGACCAAAGTGAAACTTAGTTAAAGAGACAGAAAATGAAGAGTGTATCAGTTGGACATACATAATTATTTATTAGTATATTGGCATTTTTGCCATCACCTTGGTCAGGCATTTAGGCTACATAGATGCCAAGTCTAATTTGAATGAAATGCAACACATCTGTGCTATTGGTGATTCAGTTCAGAGTACACACATGAAAGAGTTGAAAATGTCAATATATACTCAAAAATATTTCAAACCAGAGGCCTCTAGTCTTCCAAGGAGCTCAAACAGAATTTTTCTGTTAAGACTGAAACACTGCCTAGCAGGCCAAAAACAGTGCATGTAAGAATTTAGCAGAGTTACCTTCAAAAGCATCTTGTATGCCTCCAACAAGCGATTAGCAGCTGGCCCAAACCCATGAAGCTGTGGTACCTCCATCATGTGTGTCCAGGGGCGAATTTCCTACCAAAAAAAAAAAAATCCTGAAATAAGATAGCTGTAAACACACACACAAGCACAAACTCGCATGCCTGCACAAAAGAATGCCAGCACCCTGTTGGCACATAAATTTTAAACCAAATTTATGTTTAAATTTCAAATACAGTCAATGACACACATAGAGCCTACAATAAGATTGTTGTAGGCAATCATTTCCCAAAATGATTAACTTGCTCCGTTGAAGTGTATAAATAAAACAACGTCGTCTCTTAACGACGTTATTCAAGATGCTCAAATGACACGTGGAGCCTACGAAAGATGACACCTGTAGAGCCTACAGCAAGGACACTACACAGGATAAAACCCCAAAGATCAATCCGGTTAATCAGATATATGATTAATCAGATAGCGCTATTATTCAAAATTCAAATAGGCGCTATCATTCAATTTGAAATTCAAAATGAAGATGAAGCGTTCCTATCACCTGATGGCCCTCCATAAATATGAGGACCATCACACAAGACGAGGGGATCAGAAAATCAGAAGGGAAAAGATCAGAGAGAGAGAGAAAGAAATTGAGAGCTAAAGAAGTCGTTACAAAAAAAAGAAGAAGAGAAGCCTAGAGAACTGAAAAGCCTACACTAATGGCGATGAATAGGTAAAGGGTTCCAAACCCAAGAATTGCATTTTTGTATTCGAGGGTTCAAAACCCATAATAATTTCAATAAAATATTTCTTTTTTTTTAAATTGTCTTTTGTTGTTTATTTTGTTCTTCATTAATCGGAGGTTTCATTTGTATAAAATGTGTAATTAACGATCTGAAATACAGATCGGAAATAAGAACCTGCTATTCAAATAATCAACACTGTTTAGTCAAAAAAAACTAAACAGTGGACATTTATAATATAAAATTTTGAAATGTGTTGAAACACTTCATGTTTTCAAATTTGTGTCTACACACCCCAACGTTCTCCGCCATCCACCATGTGAGCATGCTCACGCACGCACACAAACACATAGCACTCCATTAAAGGTTCTTGAGCATCAAGTTCATTGTAAAATCAACATAAACTGGGAATTTTGATTAGATAATTTGAGTCAGGAACTTCCATAAAAGTTTGAGCTGGAAGCCCCTTGTAAAACTTCTGAGGCACGCAATGCATCTTAATGCTTACCAATGTGCATCAGCTTGCAATTTCATCAATACAGCACAAAAGAATGCCAGCACCCCAACGTTCTCTGCCATCCACCATGTGAGCATGCTCACGCACGCACACAAACACATAACACTCCATTAAAGGTTCTTGAGAATCAAGTTCATTGTAAAATCAATATAAACTGGGAATTTTGATTAGATAATTTGAGTCAGGAACTTCCATAAAAGTTTGAGCTGGAAGCCCCTTGTAAAACTTCTGAGGCACGCAATGCATCTTAATGCTTACCAATGTGCATCAGCTTGCAATTTCATCAATACAAGAGCGTATTTAGGATGCCAATCATAGCAATGAAAATAGCAGAATCCTTTGGCTGATGGGACTTTAGGTGCAGAGACAAGTGAGTCAACAAAGTTTCTAAACAATCAAATGAAGGCAAGAACAAGTCCCCACCTTGGTGTAAATCATATTGAACGATCTTGCAGTTTCTAAGAAAGATTCCAGATGTGTACGTAGTTTTGCTTCCACCTCCACATAGTCCTCATCTGGGTTATAAGCATGCTACATTTCGAAAAACACAACAATAAAGGACAATTACATAATTAGGACTGCCTGCATCCCCTTGATGGTCTTTTAATACAATTGCATTACGTATCCAAAATAAACACCCCCCACACAGATAGAAGAAGAACAAGAGAATTCAACAAATACACAAACTGATTACAACAATTAGGCATCTCAAAAAGGATAATTTAAACAGTATTTTGTGGTTGCACAGGTTCGAGTCAAATGCAAAAAGGGCCAGTTTAGAATATGAAATAAGGTAAAACTGATCAAAAAAATGCAAACTAGCTCCGGTAAAAGATGAACAGAAATCGAGTAGATGATAATGAACGCAAGCAGATTGCAGCTTGAGGATTTAGTATAAACCTTAGATGCCAAATCATCAACCATCTCTTGGAGACTCAAGAGCCTATTTGATTGATCTGCAAGCTGTTTGTCCAAATCATAAATATCTGGCCTGCAAATAAACTTCGATTAAGGTAACAAGATGGTTACAACATCCGGTGAAAAACAATGTTAGCAATTATGTGAGGTTTTATGTCAGGAGTCGGGAAAAATTCTACTCTAGCAACACCAACAAAAAATTTGCATCTCACAGTCCTTGTCAGAAGGTGAGAGTGAAAGGGAAAACCTATCCTATGTCTATCAATCAGAAATGATGACCCAAGAGTGGATTACAAACCAACCAGGCATTCTCAACAAGCCTTAGTCCCAATTACATGGAGTCAGCTACATGGATTTGTTTTCTCAAATCATACAACCAACAAATTCAAAGGATGTTCAAGAAGAGGGGGATGATTATGCTGAAAATGAAGGCATTGATTTATCAGGACAAATTGACAAAGGATGTTGGGCGCACCTTCAACACAAGGCCATGATGAAAATAAAGCTAGGAAAAAGAATTCTTACAATGGATATACAGATTGAATCTGCACATCTGCAGGGAACAGCTTGCACTCTTCAGAGAAAATTTGAGCTTGTTTTTCAGCAATAGCATCTATTAGTTGTATGTCCTTTGCCATCTGCTCATCAACACTATCGAAGAAGAACAAGATTTCAGGTAAAACGTACATATTGGGAAACCAAAGGAAAAACTGAAAATTCAATCTAAGGATGTCAAGGAAAGAAGGATTAATAAATTTAATTAATGACAGACCCCTTCGGGTGCATTGTAGTGAATTATCTCCTTTATCTCATACACACATGAAATATATATATATATATATATGATCTCAACCTCCATTCTGAGTTATCAGCATAAATGCTTGCCTCCACAAGATCTACAATAAGACGAAGCATTTCAGTACGATCTTCATAGCTTCCTCGTCCCTGCAACAGAAAGGCATAGCATTTGCCATGGCTTCAGGAAAAGTGTCCTAATCTCCCACATACCCAAAAGTTTTGCTAGCTCAATAGATGAGTATAATATACTGTCAATAAAATGTCACAGCGTTAGCACAAGAGAACAAATGAACCAAGTTGTCATAAACAACTCAATCTGGTATTAGGCTTTTTCAGCCACATTTATGTCCCTATTGAACTGAGCCCAATCGTTATTTGAAAGCTCACTTAGTAATAACCCAAGTCTGAACAGTCCCAATCTTAACTTTTGTAGGCTTGTTAACTCAAGCTTATAATGTTTGCTATGCAATTCTCGCTACTTTCATGACTTGGTATAATTATAAATCTCCCAAATTGTTGACCTTGCATAGTTGTATATATAGTAAAAAAGGTAACACTATCTAATAATACCTATCCTATTATATTAAATGAGTAGCCTACTTCACCTACCAACAAATTATAATACAAAAATAGGTTTGATCCAACTTCTTTAAATTACTGCCACTTGGAAATGTGATACAATGTGATATTCAATGACAATATAACAAGAGAAATACAATACGATGTGGAACAGTTGGATATCACTTGTCGCCCTCTGGTCAATACTCGATGTCAAGTAAACACTAGCCCATGCTTCTAATGCCATTGTTCTTGTGTTATTTTTCATGTAAACTTCATTTGCGAGGACATGCCTCATTTGATAACAAATTCAGATGACAGGCTTTTTTTTTTCTTTTTCTGGTATTTTATCTTTGGAGAATTCACCAATGAGAACAGGAAAGTATCCTAAATAATTTCAAATTGTATGTTGTTTGCTAGAAACCCTACCAAGTTCAAACATTTTACAGTTTTAGCCAAGCCATGCCAGAAAACAGTCATAATCATTCGCAAACAAACAACCAAATAAGAATGGGTACACTTGTCCATTACCATGGTTTTTGTGCTACTTTTCATGTAAACTTCATTTGCGAGGACATGCCTCATTTGATAACAAATTCAGATGATAGGTTTTTTTTTCTTTTTCTAGTATTTTATCTTTGGAGAATTCACCAATGAGGACAGAAAAGTATCCTACATAATTTCAAATTGTATGTTGTTTGCTAGAAACCCTACCAAGTTCAAACACTTTAAAGTTTTAGCCAAGCCATGCCAGAAAACACTCATAATCATCTAGGCACATTCACAAACAATCAACCAAATAAGAATGGGTACATGTGTCCATTACCATTATGTGGCAATATCACGATATCTCCATGTCATCTCCTACAGCCCAATTAGTGGCTCCTGAAGGCCTCATGGGGCAACACATGGATCAGCAATGATCTGCACATGCTCTTCTGGGATTGAAGCCTGAGAATTCAAAGTACAAGTGTTAAGGCACACCCATGACTCACTTGAGGCACCCCTTGGCTCTACCAAAGGAACCTCCACTTGAACAATCACCCATCGCCTCGGATCTCCTCCATGAAACTGTTCACCTACCTCCTCAGCTCCTAAGTGATCCACCACAAGGGATCTGCCTATCTCTCTCCATTCTAGCACAGATCGCCTTCAGCTCCAAGTGACCTTTCACCGACCTCACTCAGTCTGCAAGTGATCCATCATGTGTGATCTATAAAAAGTGAATCTCCAACTTACACTTGCTTTCAAAATAAGTCAATCTACGATAGGGGCAAAGCCTAGGATCTCTGTTTGGGATCACTAGAGGACCTGCAGCTTGGAGGTTGAAGTTGAGGGATTTCAAAGTTGATAAGCCTATCCCACTTAGATGACTCTACCTAACCATTCATGGGCCGAGAGGATTTTGACATAAAAACATGTGATATCTTAAAGACTGTATCATACCTAACTCTACATCATCATGATGAGGACTCAGCATGCCTACCTGCAACTATCCCATGATACATCCTCTGACATTTGTCATAGGACAGCGAGTAAGTGGGAAACCTCCAAATTGTCAAACTAAGGAGATGAGCCAGATGAGCTCTCCACCATGGTTTGATCTATTCACCAGCTTTGATCAAACAAGTCATCTACCTTGACCAAGATAACCTCTCTCCATTGGGAAACCTCTATGTTCTAAGGGTGCCTTGGTTTTCTCCTCTACCACCTCAGTTGATCTCCATCAATGAGTCCACTCCAACCACTCTTATTCACATTCAGCATGATCATCATGTGTTGCAATTGCAATTAGGACCACAATCACATATATTAATGCTATTACAACCTGAGACCAATGTTCTGAATACCATACCAGCAATAGTACTGCTTTTTACTATTGGTACGGTATGTACCAGTACAAGTATGTTTCCAAATACCATTTTGGGTTTATCACAATATGTTGTATATTTATAATTTCATGAGTATAATGAATAAAATATGAATTTTATCTTCCAAATAATATCTTTAGCATAATTACCATTGCGAAGACTAAATTTTAATATTGAAAACCAACATGCAGCTTTGTCATTAAAGATGAAACCCACCTTGCATTTTTTTTTTTCTTAACAAATTTTACAAAATCAAGTTGGCATATTATATTGCATTGTTTATATCAACCTTTCACCATTTCAGTAGAAATAAAAAGTAGGCGTATATTTCCAAAGTGAAAACCTTCTGTCTCTTTCCATTTTCTGGTTCAAGACTCAAAGCTCACATTACTTTTCTCCTCTGCCAACAGTTGGGAGATGAAGATAGAGAAGGGCCTATTGGACTCGAAGCTCACAGTGCTAGGGGGGGAGATGGGGTTGCTCTGGTTGTCAGAGGTGGAGAGATTGAGCATCTAGACATGCCTTCACAGCAGGAAAAAACAGGATCCCAGTCTTCGAAATACCCAGCTTTCATATTTTTTTCATTTGTGACTGATACACAACCTGAATAGCCAGTATTGCCAGGAAAAAAAAAAAAAAAAAAAAAAAAGAAAACCAAAAAAAGAGCAAAACTGCCGGGTATCCTCGAAATGGACCAAGATAAGCCAAAAAAATTTCCAAAATGGAACTGGTAGTTTAGTGCACTGATTTCTTTTAGGAATGAATTTTTTTTCTTTATAGAATTTTTGTAAGTTCTTTACTGACCCCAATAAAAAAAATTCGTGGAGCTTCCACCAACTATTACTTGTTATAAACAAAATAAAATAACACTAAATTATAACCAAAACTGTATGGTCAGTTCTACATAGCTTAGCATAAACAAGAAAAGATAGTTATCACACAAATGTATTTGGCAACAGAAGGTGATCAACATCAACATAGTGTCAAATATACAAGGAATAGAGCATCTCACTTGAATTGCTTCCATATCGATGGTCGTAGTGATACCCAAAAACTTTGCAATCTCCGCCAAATCTGCAACAAAAAGTAAATAAAATAAAATAAGTGATTTTTTGTAACAAACTCATAAATAGTTGTTAAAAAATTATTAAAACAACAATGGATCACGTGACCCCCCTCAGCTTTTTGATATTTATATTAGTACCCTATATAAAGATTAATTTTATTTACCCTTTAAGAAATTGTAATACTGCCTCGTCCTTAAATCATGTAAAAGTAAAACCATTTTGTTTTTTTAAAATTTTGAAAGTACACCATTCTATTCTTATTATCAATGGTCGTAGTGATACCCAAAAACTTTGCAATCTCCGCTAAATCTGCAACAAAAAGTAAATAAAATAAAATAAGTGATTCTTTGTAACAAACTCATAACCAGTTGTTAAAAAATTATTAAAACAACAATGGATCACGTGACCCCCCTCAGCTTTTTGATATTTATATTAGTACCCTATATAAAGATTATTTTTATTTACCCTTTAAGAAATTGTAATACTGCCTCGTCCTTAAATCATGTAAAAGTAAAACCATTTTGTTTTTTTAAAATTTTGAAAGTACACCATTCTATTCTTATGGCCACCCTTGTACACTTCTAACTAGGATGTCAATGGGTCAATTTTTACAACATTAATTATTTCTTTCTCATTCTGAGAGATTGTTCGGCTGGCTGTTTCTTCCATTGTGGAGCTCTTTATTGGGTCAATAGGGTTGGACTTATTGATTGTAGATTCAGTTGATTGTTTCTCCCCATTGTTAGGTTAACATAATTAGGTTGTTGATTGGGGATTTATGAGCCACATTGATGAAATTCCCGTGCTAATTGTCATATCGTATCCTATTGATTGATCAAAAAAAATTGAGTGTTTAAGTTTAATAATATCTCATTACTGCTTATTATGAAATAAATAAATAATTTCCAATGTTGTGACTGATATGCGCCTCTCTACATCTATGTTACACGGACTCTTCAAAATAAATCAAATACCCGTGTCAGACACCCAATACTCGGACAAGGGTATGGAATATGCGTCAGCAACATTTCAATTGACACTTCTTATGTAACTATATATATATAACACTATTATTATATATACATATTGTTGTAAAATTACTATAACTATCCTTTTGATATTGTAAGTTACATATAACATCACTTGATTGCAAATATAAAAATATGACATTTTTTTGCCGAGTCAATGGACCTTTAAATTTATAATTTGATGAGTCTGATCGCTAGATACATACCCGCACCCAACACCCATACCTGAGTCTGCTCTACATTAATACTCTGTTCGGTTGGGAGATTTAGAAAGGGATTTGAAAAGGAAAAGAAAAAAAGATAGGTAAAATATAAATAAAATATACCTTTATTTTACTTAATTTCACACGTCTTTTCCCTTTCGCTTTCCAAATCTCTTCCCAAATTCTTTAACCAAAGCTTTCCAAATCTCTTCCTAAATTCTCCAACCAAACACAGCGTAAATTCCTTGCTCCGCCACCAAAATCAGCAGATCATTCAACGACCCAATTGATCTTTCAAAGGAAAATATAGTCTTAAAGTAATTAACTCACATGAACAGCCTAAATTTCCAGGTTTAGAGAAATGCATTCTATGATTCTATATACCACATTACACATATACATACATACATATATAGAAATAAAAATTGAAATAGAAAGAGGCAATTACATTGGATCCGAGCGGTCTCTTCGTCGCGATCCATGGCGTCCCCTTGCAGATTTTGCTGAGAAAATGGAGACTTGTCGCCTAATAGCCTGCAAGCAATTCATGAGGTGATAAAAATGAAATTCAAAGAAAAGTATAGAGAGAGAGAGAGAGAGAGAGAGAGAGGAGGGGGGATACTTGAAGAAGAGCCATTCGAGAAGAGCGTAACGTTCCATGCCGGCGAAGAGGAGGGACTGAGAAGGTACGTTGGCTCTAGGGTAATTCAACATCGCCAACTTCCTCTGTATCTCTTCCATTTGCTTTGCCGCCATTGGATTTCACTATTCTCTCTCTATATATACAAATCCAACTTCTCACAGATCGCTCAACTACAGCCGGTGAAGAGAAAGGGAGAAGCTAAAATTTCAAATTTTTTTTCCTCGGCCTTCCTCTAAACTCCCTTTGGATGGAGGTATAAATGTGGCCCGTCCGGCCCGACCGATCCACTTGGGTTCGGGTTCTGGCCAGCTCATGCTGGGTTTTGTAAGTTTCTGTCAAAATTCGGACCGGGTTAGCTTGTAGTTCAAAAAATTAGGCTCAAGTTGAAGGGTATTCAGGTCTTGGGTTGGTTAGGCCGATGGGCCTACACTCAGGTTTGTAAAGGGTTTGAACATTTTTTTGTATTTTTTTCACAAAAAATGACATTGGGCCTCGGATAAACCGGGTCAAATCGGGCTTCAAAATGATGGCATGGGCCCAGGCCCAAGGTTCCGGATTGGGTTGAGCCCGAGCCTAATCAGTCCAAGCCCACCCCAGGTCGCCCACGGACTGCGGGCTATTTTTACATTCCTAGATGAAGGGGTTTGGCAAGAAATAATGACAATTGGAAGTCTCTCCAATTTTTTTTATTTTTTATTTTTTAGCAGTCAAGATAGGAGGTTAGTAAAGTTAGGTTATAAAGGTCATTTTGAGAAGTTAGTTAAAAGTTGATCATTTATATTTTTTTAGCTTTTTTTTTTAAAATATGTAAAAAAGTAAAGAAGTGATGTGACTCTAAGGCCTTGTTTGAGATAAATTAAAGGTCAAAAAGTCAAAAAATTACTAAAAAAAACTAAAAAGTTTATATTATTCAAGGGTAGCTTGTGGGTGAAGCTACTAAGGCAAAATTATTATTTGCCCTTTGAATTCAACTATCTAAAAAGTCAAAAAATTAAAAATCAAAAGGATAAAATTGTCATTTTGATTTTCCTACAATATTTTATTACATATTTTTTTGTAAAAAGTCAAAAAATTATTTTAAACATACATCTTTTTCTCTACTTTTTTAATCAAAAAGTTAAAAAAAAAACACTTATATAGCACATTCCAAACAACCACAAAAAAACCAAAAAATTGACTTTTAACCAGCTTGTCAAAATAAACCTAAGTTAAAGGCACCGTTGATTCACCAGCTTGAATCTCAAATGTTCTACTTATCGTATCCTAAGGTAAGGTTGCATGCCATTCGACTTGTTTGGATAGTTAAGTAGGTAAAAAATTGTGAAAAATAATGAGAGATTGTGAGAAAATGATATTGGAACAGTCTTCTGTCTAAATAAAATAAATTCAAATAATTCAAACAAAATAAAATAAAACTTACAGTATTTATTTTGTAAAACTGAATTAATAATTCAAATACCAAGTCGAGTGTGTGACACTCTACTCTTAGGACAGATTCGCCCCACTACGGTGTTTACGGTTGAGTGGCGTCTATCTCTTAGGATACAATGATCTTAACCAATTTGTAGTAACACTCCAAAACAAATTGTTCAGTGAACCAAACCTGTGTTCTAACTCTCTGAATATTTATTCCTAAAATTATATATGAAGAATAATGCACTAAAAGGAAATGGACAGCAAAAGGGCAAAATTTTAGACTCAATTTTTTTCGGATCGCCTGGACTGTTGCAAATTGATTGTATATATAGGCAAAACAAAAGACCCGAACAGGTATGGACAATTTGAATGAACAGATGCTCTATGAAAGAACAGGTGCAATAGTTAATTTCAAACTATTCTGACCATTGGTACAAAGACCATTAAATTCAAACAAATTTGAAAAGTTGTCCACGGAGGACCAAGTCAATGAACTGTAGGTAATTCATTATTTAAACTATTTCAAATATATATATATATATATATTAAACTAATTGAATATATATATATTAAACTATAGAAATAGTTAAATAAATAAATGAAGAGGTACAAATTTTAAGAAACTTCTTAGGAACCTAAAATTTGAATTTAGAATTAAATTAAATTTCCACAATTACAAATTTTAGGAAACCATTTAGGAACCCAAAATTAGAATTTAGAATTAAATTAAATTCCCACAATAATTTTTATTGAAAAAATTCAAATGAATTTTATCTAAAAAAAAATTAATGTTAAACCTGAAAACGACGTCAATTTCCCATTCACTCATAAGTGGTTTTGACGTTCCGTCTTCACCGTGTGAGTTGTCACACGGTAAGGAACACGTCACCTCTACGGACTCACCCCAAAAGACGTTTGGGGCCACTCAAATTTGGGCTAAAAAATATGCCTATATTAAACCATTTTTCCAACAATCCCCCACATGAATGGAATTTGACGGAAAGAAAATGCAACAACATGATCTATTACAGAGAGTACAGAAATTGGAAATATTCTGCAAAGGATAGATAGCTTTTGGCTTTGAACCTTCCCTTGTGAGACACTATCGGATTTACTAGCTAACTAGTGAACATGATGTCTTGAACTGTTCAGCCATTTGTGTAAACCAAGACAATAGAACTCACACAGTATATTCCCAGACACAGTTTAGTTCTCACTATTGTGTTCATTTTGGCCCTGAACAACCTGGTCTTTCATGAGTGCTCTAGAGAATTGTAGCCCTTTACAAATCTCATAGAACCGACCCAATTCACACTCACATAGGTGATTCTTATAGAGAGTATCCTACTATACTCCACTAGGTTAACCTAGATATAAGGATCATTAGAAGTTTTACTTATCCTAAAATGCTGCAGACATCACTATTTCATCATAGAAATGGGTAGGAGTTAGGCTCCCCAGTGATCCTTCTGAGTCATTCACAACTCGGTTGTCCCTTTGAACCTAGATCTTGGAATCTCCAGTCTACTAGGTTGGGTTGCCGTTGTGGTAACTCCTATTTAATAGGCTTTAGTCACATTCTCCTCGATGAATTCTCAACCAACTCTCTTGTTAACCCTTTGGTTAGTGGATCCGCTATGTTGTCTTTAGACTTAACATATTCTATGGAAATAATTTCATTAGAGAGTAGTTGTCTTACGGTGTTATGTCGATGATAAATATATCGTGACTTACCGTTATATATATGACTCTGTGCTCTACCTATAGCTAATTGACTATCGCAATGTATGCATACAGCAGACATCGGTTTTGGCCATATTGGAATATCTTCAAGGAAGTGGCGAAGCCACTTTACTTCTTCCCCAGCTTTGTCTAAAGCAATGAATTCTGATTCCATAGTAGACTTAGCAATACAAGTCTATTTAGAATATTTCTAAGATACAGCCGCTCCACCAAGAGTAAAGATATACCCACTGGTGGACTTTGAGTCTCTAATATCCGATATCCAATTTGCATCACAATATCCTTCAAATACTGCTGGATATCTAGTAAAATTCAGCCCAATGTTATGAGTAAATCGAAAATATCTTAGAACCCTTATAATTGCTTTCCAGTGTTCTACTCCTGGGTTACTCGTATATCTACTTAATTTACTTATTGCATAAGCTATATCTGAGCGAGTGTAGTTCATCAAGTACATTAAGCTTCCAATAATTTGGGCATACTCTAATTAAGAAATACTTTCCTGTACATTCTTAGAAAGATACAAATTAACATCTACAGGAGTTCTAGCAAGATGATCATCATCTTTGCTGAATTTGTCAAGTATTTTCTCAATGTAATGAGATTGTGACAAAACATATCCTTCTGATGTTTTGGTAATTTTCATATCAAGAATTACATCAGCAATGCCCATGTCTTTCATGTTAAAATATTTATTCAACATTTTCTTGGTAGTTTTAATCATATCATTATTACTACCAATGATGAGCATATCTTTACATAAAGACATACAATGGCATAACATTTGTCTGTGTTTTCAATATAAACACATTTGTCACACTCATTAATTTTAAATCCATTTGACATCATTGCCTTGCCAAATTTCTCATGCCATTGCTTTGGCGCTTGTTTTAAACCATATAATGATTTAACCAATTTACACACTTTCTTTTCTTTTCCTAGAACAGAAAACCCTTCTGATTGTTCCATGTAAATTTCTTCATTTAACTCACCATTTAAGAAATCGATTTTTACATCCATTTGATGAATTTCTAGATTGTATAGAGATGCAATGGCAATTAGCATTCTAATGGATGTTATTCTAGTAACCGGTGAGTATGTGTCAAAGTAATCAAGACCTTCTTTTTGTCTAAAACCTTTGATCACAAGTCTTACCTTGTATTTGTCAATTGATCCATCCGCTTTCAATTTTCTTTTGAAAATCCATTTGTATCCAAGGGGTTTACAACCTAGTGGCAAATCCACCAATTCCCAAGTGTGATTTTGTAAGATGGATTCAACTTCACTATTGACAGCTTCTTTCCATAAAGGAACTTCAGGACTGGACATATCCTCTTTAAAAGTTAAAGGCTTATTTTCTAACAAAAATGTTAGGAAATCTGGACCAAAAGATTTTGAGGTTCTAGCACGTTTACTGCGCCTAGGTTCCTCTTCCTCATCATGAGATCTTTTATTGTTACTAGTTTCCTGTCCAGTCTTATTTTGGAAATACATGTTCAAAGAATGATGCATTCCTTGACTCAATAATAGTATTTACATGCATTTCGGTATGTTCTGATTTATGAATCAAAAACCGATATGCACTACTATTCTTAGCATAACCAATGAAAATGCAATCAATGGTCTTAGGACCTATTTTAGTCTTTTTAGGATTAGGAATAGCCACTTTAGCCAAACACCCCCACACTTTTAAGTATTTATAGGATTATATTCTTCCATGCCACAATTCATAAGGTGTTTGATTTATTTTCTTTCGGGGTACTTTATTTAAAATATAATTAGTAGAAAATATTGCTTCCCCCTCAAATTCGGAGGTAATCCAGAATTGATTAACATGGCATTTATCCTTTATTTTAAAGTCCTATTTTTCCTTTCAGCAATTCCATTTTGCTGAGGTGAGTAAGGAGCGGTGATTTGATGAATTATTCCATGTGTTTTTACAAAATTTACCAAAAGGTGATTCATATTCACCACCTCTATCACTTCTAAGTTTCTTGATTTTCTTACCAAGTTGATTTTCAACTTCATTCTTAAATTGAATGAAAGTTTCCAAAGCTTCATCCTTAGTTCGAATTAAATAAACATAACTATA